GACATGCGTTTTTTCAGGCTTTAATTACTGTAAAAGGATACTCGCATAAAGATTTGTGAGAGCAAGATGGAAAGAAGGACAATTTTTTTACTTTCATATTTTTATTAACTAATAAATATTTGCTGAAAATGTAAAATGGAAATTTAAACATAGAAAATTTATGCAACTTATAGCACTTAATAGAATTTTAAACTGGCATAGTTAGCTAGCAAAGATTATTAATAAATTATTTTTTTATAAAGTTTTACTGTCAATTTTTCATGAAAGGTGTAATCTAAAAAAGTTTAGAAAAGGAAGATAAGTAACTGCATGCCCTTATCTATTAAAAAAATTGCTAAGTTAATTATGAGATTATTTTTCCCTTTTGTTAATCTGATACTCTAACAGGGAAATTATTTCTTGCTTTGTTTAAATTTCTTGTTTTGTTTTTTATTTTATTTTTATTAACTAATAAGTTTTTTTATAAATTAATTAGTTAATAAAAATATGAAAGTAAAAATTATCCTTCTTTCCATCTTACGCTCACAAATCATTATGCGAATGCGATGATTTGTAGGTACTTTATTTTTTATCACGATATTTTCAACGACAATGTTTTTCAACTACGAAAATTTTGAACCGCTTTATTTTCGACGTCGATATTTTGTACCACAATGTTTTTCTCTTTGCTTTATTTTCTTCCACGATGTTTTGCATCACGACGTTTTCGCCTTGCATTGTTTTCTCCGCGACGTTTTTGTCCGCGATGCTTTTGGCTGTAACCTCCGCAACTATAAAAAATTGTGTCTTATATACATGTAAAGGAGGTCATCCCATCATACGTGGATAGCTTCAGAGAGGGACGAGAAAGCATGGGTAAAAATTTGAAGTGATCCGAATTGCTGCCTACTGTCGCTAAGACATTCAAAGTATCAACTTCTTTCGCAACTGCTGAAACCCTGTCATTAATTTGTTGTTCGATTTGTTGTTGGACGGCAGAAACTCTACCTTCTATTTGTTCTTTCACAGAAGAAACTCTTTCTTCAATGTGGCCAACTCTGTTTTCAGCAGCGTCTATTCTGCCTTCCATAGCCTCAAATTTGTTTTCTATTACGCAGGTAATTTCTCTTTTCATTTCCTTTTGACCTGCTTTCATTTCTTTTTCAACAGATTTCTGTAAAGTTTCATCTCTCCTTTAACAGGTACTTGACCAGCTTCCATCTTTGCTTGAAACGCTTTCATGTCTCCTTTGAAGAATTATTGGGCAGCCTTCATTTTTTCTTGAAATGAAGCAAAGGCTCAGCTGTCTTAGCTGCTCCTCCATCGCTCTTGTTATTGGCATTCAAATCCCACTCCTGATCCCAAAAAGTGTTGCGTGCGTTAGGGTTCGTAATAGATTGTTTGCACAAGTCCGATAAAAGTTAATAAAATTTATTCTAATCACAAGGAGTGTAAGAAAACGCTGGATTATTCCTTAAAGATATTCGTACAGTATCTCTATATCACGCAATATAAACAGTAGTTATATTTTAAACTACTAAAACGTTAAATAGAACGCAATCCAGAGCATTATCAAGTGACACAAATATACAAAGCACCAAGTGCAATTAAAATACAATTTAAATTTTAAATTAACAAATCAATGCAAATAAAAAATAATTAAAATGATGTTTTTTAAATTCAGTAAAACACCAAAAAATTCCATAAAAGGGCACACGACAATCATTAAAATTGTTTAGGATAAAATTATCCACAGAGGCAGTAGTTTTAATCAGAAAGTCATTAAAAGATGCAACACGGTTCATTTTCAAGTATAAACAACAGTCCAGAGTTAGGTCTAAAATTATGCATGGCTACGCTGGAGAGTAAATTAAGTCGAAACAAGAAAAATACAGTAAGTAATGCAGCAAAAATACCATTTTCCTAAAGTGGAACACAAATTCAGTCCAATAAACGCACTTTCATAAAGAAAAAGTATATGTCTACCAAGAAATAATAAGCTAAATAGGAGCTAAAGAAATTCGTGGCTGCATCGATTCGGGCATGCGCAGAACCCACCTATGATACGCTGCATCTACTGCGTTATAATTTAGTACGCACCCTAGCTGAATTATTCGACATTACCCTAGCTTTACGCGGAGCGAAGAGGCTTTGTGCCGAAGGATAGGAGTACTTTTTTTAAAATCTCAAGTAGACGTTGATTTTCCTCCTATTTTTCTTCCAAGATGATTTGTGCAACATTTTAACAAGCCCGAATGAAGCTGTATAACAGTATCGAACGGTTATGTTTTTTTTTTTTTTTTTTTTAGTCCAAAGGGATTTGAATCCCGAAGGACTATTAGTTTCGTTTTGGCATTTTGCGTCGGACTCATAAATGTCGGTTCACTTTTCAAACTGTTGCCACAAAATGTTAGAGTCCTGCATTATATTTGAAGAAATTAAATAATGAAAAATCTGCATAAATGTATGTATATTTCTCGTATTGTGATAAAACAACGGTACATAGAGTCATCGAATTTTGAATAACGTAATCCTCCAACGAATATGAGCATGTGGAAGACCAAATTTGAAATTTGTTTTATGATCGATTTCCTATTTTTTTAAAACTTTGACGAATTTTTGAATTACAAACTCAAGGATTTCAAAGCGAGCAATGGCAACGTTGTGCAGAAAAAACATTTTTATCTCCAGCGCGTGAGTCTCTGTATCGGAAATTCTAAAGATATGCTCGTTTTAAAACTATTTTGCGATATTGCTGTTGCACTGGATCTTATGGTTTAAGTGCGAGGAACATGATATTTAATAAAGAAAGGTAACACACAAAATGTTAAAAAACGCCCCTTTGGACGTAATTTAAAATCTGAAACATTTCAGATTTTTTTTTTTTTTTTTAAATCTTTCGGGAAATGATGTTTAAAAAAAAATCTTTCATTTTGGCCGATTTTTTCACCGTTTTCCAAATTTACGCGGAAAACTCAAACACAGCGTATTTAAATTTTGCTTTAAGGGTTCTATGCTGTTCTAAGGAGCAAACGAACACGATGTCATCTAACGGTTTCATCAAGAGCTGATAGTGGAAACGCAACAACAGCGACATGCTTTCAAAGTTGAAACTGTGTAGACACAATGATATTTATTATTATTATTATTAGTCCAAAGGGGCTTTGTCCCTGAAGGACTATTGTTTTCGTTTTGCGATTTTGCGTCGGACTCATAAACGTCGGTTCACTTTTCAAACTGTTGCCACAAAATGTTAGAGTCCTGCATTATATTTGAAGAATTAAATAATGAAAAATCTGCATAAATGATTGTCTATTTCTCGCATTGTGATAAAACAATGGTACATAGAGCCATCGAATTTTGAATGACGAAATCCTACTGCGAATATGGGCATCTGAAATCCCAAATCTGGAATTTGTTTATTTAGATTTTATATTTTGTAAAACTTTAACGAATTTTTGATTTACAAACTCAATGCTTTAAAAGCGAGAAATGGCAACGTTATATATATATATATATAAAAAAAAAAAAAAAAAAAAAAAAACTTTTATCTCCAGCTCGCGAGACTGTGTATATCGGAAATTCTAAAGATATGCTTAATTTAACATTATTTTGCGATATTGCTCTTGAACTGAATTTTATGGTTTAAGTGCAAAGAACATGATATTTAATAAATAAAGGTAACACTCAAAACGTTAAAAAAACGCCCTTTGGACGTAATTTAAAATCTGAAACATTTCAGATTTTTTTTTTTTTTTTTTTTATTGTATAAAATAATTTTAAATTTCTTGCTTAGAATGTATGACTTCTACTGATAGCGGGTAAGCAACAAATCGTTATGAATGTGAATGACGCGAGCGCAACATTCTAATACAAACATCCCCAGTATGTACACAGTGGGGGTGGTTTTTCAGAATCTTATGTAGAAAATGAGCTTCTGCTCTTTTTGAAGATCGAGTGTGCAAAATTTCATCAGGAGAGCAATAAAATAGTAGATTTTATAAATTACATGCGTGCAAGCAGACAAACAAACATTTTATTTACATATATAGATGATTTTAATGAATCCAGTTTTTGCTATTTCAGTGGTCCAGTTAGTAATTGATAATAACTGACATGAATCTAATTTTATTAATTTTAAATCGCTTAGTTCATGAATTAATAACAGAATAAATTTGAAAGAAAACTTCAATATATCATGATTTGCTGAACGACAGCATACTGCCGCGTGGAAGATAAAAATATTTTGATTCTAGCAGTGGCAATACATTTTTTTTAAACCACTGAGTTTGTTGATTACATTCGAAAGGCGCAGGTATAGGCATGTCAGTTATAATCAATATTTCATTTTGAAGATTGGCAATACACTTCTTTTTATATCGCTGAGTTTTCTGATTAAATTTAGAAACATAAATATTTTACGCTTTGCAGAATGGCAACACAAAGTTTTACGGATGACACATTGTACTTACCACGTGATATTATAGATTAAAGTGGACGTTAAATAACTACAAACGTGGATATGAAAACAATGAAGTTGTTTCGGTAGGTTTGTTTTCCAATTTTGATTTCCGCTTTTAGTTTTCTTTGCAAGTACGGGGAAGTCATTGGTTAAACTGGTAAAGAGTGAACTTCGATTGCGAAATGCAACACCAGAATTGACATAGGATCTAGCCGACAATTCTCTCGATGAAAGCTCAATAACGATACTCATCCTGCAAAACGCACCAAATTTAATACTATTTGATGTATTTTATTTTGTTTCATTTTCCTCAAGAATGCAACAGATCAGGAAAATTCTTTGTCTTCTTTGCCCCTTGGTACTAGGTTTACTTTATTACTGACACGCTACTGTGAAAAATGTTTTGTTCATTTTCCCGCAGATTAAATATTATTAACGGCGAGTATGAAAAATACTGCGAATAATTTTTATACGATTGCTCTCTGAAATAACACAGCCTTCGTAAAATGTACACAGAGTTTAATAACAAAATATGGAGAAACTAGCTTTCTGAACTTACTGAGATTGCTAATTGTGGTAATGCTATTCTTGCTGAGATTAATGGTGTCCAATCTATGTAAACTTTCTAAGTTTTCGATAGTCGACAGAAGATTCTGCTGCAGATAGAGACATCGCAGCTCTTTCTGAGCGTGCAAGTTCTCAATTTTTCTTATTCCATTATTTTCCAACCAAATGCTCTTTAATCCAGTGTAATCTTCCAGGTTTTCGATTTTTGTTAAGCCTAAGAAAAATAAAATAGATTTATAACAAAAAATAATAAATATACTTACATATTAAAATTGTAAATATAAATAAAATGAAATTTTTATTATGTTTCACGTCTCAAAAATATTAGAAGGAAATTTAACTAATGATTTTTTCTTTGTTAAAATCCTCGTTTAAGGGAATAACACTAAACAATAAAATTCTGATGTGGACACCACAAGACTGCCTTGTACTGCTTATTTAAATTATATTTACTTTTTGCTGCACTTCATTTAAACTTATTTCCATGAATCATTCTAACTTAATCAATCGATCCCTCAAGGCAAATTGCAAATTTTGAAATTAAATATACATTCCACTTTTTGTTATATGGAAGTCAAACTTCTATTTTTACTTCCTTGTACGAAATAAAGTAAACGCGAAAAATTTCGGGTATTGTATTTCAATGAAAATATCTATTTTGACTGCTCTCGATTCGATTTTATGTTTTTGCGTTACATCTTTACGTACGGACAGAACAAAGGTCTCTTTTTCCCAAAACGGATTATGAAATGCATTAAAAATGTATTCAGAAAAAATATTTCGTGACGTCTGTACGTACGTATGCACAAAATGCATGTAACTCGCATTTCAGAAAACGATTAACCCGGAACATTTAAAATTTATATGTAGGACTTTTATAATATGTACATGAGCACCTCCCTTTTTGGTTGCAATTAGCTGTACCAAAAGTATATAAGTATTGTTGCGTGCGTAGGGTTTCGTAATAGATTGAATGCACAAGTCCGATAAAAAGTTAACTAAATTTATTCTTACCACAAGAAATATAACATCAAAACGTTGGGTTTTCCGTAAAAGATATTCGTCCGCTATCCCAATATCACGCAGTAGTTATATTTTACACGCAGTAGTTATATTTTACACGCAGCAGTTATATTTTAAACTATTAAACATTAAATAGAACGCAATCCAAATCGCAGAGAAATCTTATCCGATCTCAACGTGAATTCGCTACAATGAACAATTCTCTATCAATTGAGTTGAGATGTTTCTCTCAGGCTTTTATAGCTTTTTAAACTGGCCGCACGAGACAGTTTTAACAATTTCCGGCAAGCAAAAAGAGTAGAATTACGGTTACAGCTATCATAATAGTCAATTACATATACCCACTCTGTTACCCTGCTCGGTGAGCTAAGTTTTTTATTCTTATATGTTGGTAAATTGTGCACTTTTTGCTTTAAAAGCGATTACATTATATTGTTCTTATGTTCCAGTTAAGGTTTTTATGCCTTTAGTTAATCTACATACAATAGTTATAGAATTATGAAGAATTAAAATATTGTTTAAGTTCCAGTAAGCCTAATGACGCTGCCATTTGTTTACATTTGAAACTTAGTACCATAGTGAATTAAGTCCGTTTCTGCACCAACTTCAGTTCTTTTACCGCGTGGGGCCAAAAGTTTTGTGCATCTAAAAATCTGTCTTTCCGCCTAATTTTAATTAATTTAAACTCTAATTTTAATTGAAAAAATTATTTTTTAATGGTTTTTAACTCTATTTGATGTTTTAAGTTTTTCTGTATTTTATAATTTTTAATAAAGATGTTTTGCGTTTTTATGCATTTTTTCCTGGCCGCTAAGTGAGAACTGAATTAATTGAATGAGAAATATATCCCTAATAAAATTCCAGGAAGCAAGTTTAAATGAAATGTAGTAAAAGATGTGTATAATACAAGGATGCCATGTTGTGCTCACATCAGATTTTTATATCTTCATGATAAGTATAGAACTTCGGCAAATATAATTATAGGAACTGAGACACCTCACTAAATGTTAGATTTCGTTATTTGTACAAAATTATTATTATTATTTTTAATTTGACGTTGCCCAAACATGAATATTTCTGTCATTTAAAACACTTTTGTAATTAGAAGTAAATGACTATGACCAACGATTGCGAAAATAAACGTTGAGTGGGGAAGGTGGGTATATTTTTGGTACTTCCGATCTTAATAAAAAAGAAAGGTGCACAGCTAACTTTATAACAAAACAAAACAAAACAAAAAATCTATTTTGAATCTAGTGTATACAATCCAGTTTCCCTTAGAAAGTCCTCCACGAAGGCATACCTCCCCTTAGGCAGATAGCCCTAGTGTGCTTTGCCATAATTAAATACAGCACACCTATTTTGAATCTATTTAAAATCCAGATCGTGTAGGGAAAAAGAACTCTTTTATTCTGTCCGTACGTACAGACGTTAAGCCAAAAAAAAAAGTCAGAATGGATTTGAGGTAGGTCAAATGAATATTTTCGCTGAAATATAGGCCCCTAGCGGCCGAGCGATAAATTCCGCGAACTCTGGTATTTCGGCTCAGAGTTCGAATTTTGGCGAATTTGGCTGGCTGCATGGATGCTATCGTGGCTTTCTCCATGTTAAAAGTGTATGCGAGGCAGTTCCCTTAGAAATTCCTCCACGAAGACGTTCCTTCCCTTAAGCAAATAGCTGTCGGGTCCTTTGCCAGTCCAAACCGCTGAAACATGATGCCCGAAATTTTTCGCGATCACAAGTCTTCTTTACTTCGCTCAAAGAAGTAAAAATATACAGTGGCTCACATTTTTTTCTGACATATGTATTTTTGAAATTTATTTCTCTAGATCTTGTACTGAATATTAAAACAAAGCCTCCTTTTTTTTTTTTTTTTTTTACTTTTTTTAAAAAAATATTTTCTCTAGTTTATAATAAGCCTCACTTATTTCGAAATATCCCTTGTGATAAAAGAGTTTATTTAAAAAGTGTTAATACATAACTCGCATAATAATTTGCAAAGTTTGCTGAGAAAATGCATCATAGGAATTGTAATCACCGTTTCGAAATTTTTACTTGTTCACAAAATATATTAACAGTTTCATATCTGAAGTGAAACTGGCATAACTAACAACAAGTTCTGTTCGAAATTTAACTGTTCATTATTTTAAAAACGAAAAAGCATTTTAAGTATTTAAAACATCACTGACGCATCCTGGCATTTAACTATATTTGATGTTATAAAGTGATGAAAATTGCATGAAACTGTTGAAAATGCATTGAATTCTGGACAACATTCCAAGGAACACAAAGTAATCGAGATTTGCAAAACGAAAAATCAAAACAAGATTCAAAAATTAGTTCTGCGATATATACAGAGGATTTATGAGAAGAGTTTGATATGAAAGTTAACTCTGAAATGTCACTGGGGTGCATAGCTACAATGTACGGTCAGCAAGAAGGAAATTCTTTGTGAACAAGAAATATGCTTGGCGTAAAACTTCTGAGATATATGAACCCCTAGCAGCTTGTATAGTTGAATATTTTCGCTGTAACCGTAACCGTGACAGCGTTATTGCTTTAAATAATTACAAGCTCGAGCGCATATTTTCAAATACAATATCTGAAATTTCATTTCGATTGATTGAACGGATACGTCGCTAGGGATTCGCATATAAGGGAAGTTGTTTTATTGACTACCCTGTATTTTGGAACAACGTTATATTTGCAGACGAGTGAAAATGTAATGTATTTGGTTTCGATGGACATAGGAAGCAAAAGCCGAAAAGATTTAAATCTAAAAGACATTGCTTACTCTTAAGCAGGCTAATGAAGGCATGATGGACGTTTCGCTGCTTTTAGAATGAGAAATTTAGTGTTTATTGGAAATAATATGAATCAGTTAATATATGTAAGTATTCTTAATATATGTAATATATGTTATAATATGTAAGTATGTTAATATATGTTAATATATGTAAGTGAAAAATCCAGAAGCACCTGCAAGAAAACTTGGAGTGCAAAATGCATTCCAGTAGTTTTATCAGGGCAGCGATCCTAAACATACAACATTAAGTGTTCGCTTTCGGTTATCATACAACTATTCAGTTATCAAAACTCTTCCATATTCTTCGGAATTAAATCCTATCTAATGTATGGAATGAGCTGGTGAAAGAATAGCGAAACATAGCAGTTCTTTGAAAGCTGTACTAAAAGCAATTTTTTCGGAGGAATAGTACAAAACAGAACATTTTTACACCTAAGAAATTAGCTGAATCCATGCCAAAATGTAATTTTAGGGGAAGGGTATCCACGAACTATTGAACGTCTCGTCATTTTCGTGTTTTGTTGTAGTTATTTCTTATGGGTTTATTCGGTTATCAATCCATTTACATCAGGCTGTTCGCCAAAAACGAAAGATTAACTTCAAAATTACACCACGAAAATTTCAAAAACACTTAAAAATTGCAACACTAAAATTGAAGTCTTTAGAATACCAAAAAATTAAGACAGCTGACAGGTGACGAGAACTGGGGCACCTGGCGTCTACCAGAGGTAAGCAGGTGCATACCCCTCATCCTCCACTAACCAGCGCTTATCGAAGAATTAAAGGAGTTGTGTGAGAAACATGGCCTTACAGGGACTAGGTGGCTGTACAATGGCTACAGATTTGGGAACAGAGGGTGCAAGACACATATTGTAATGCATGTAAATATAACAGAGAACATAAAGCATGAAAGTAATACAATAAATAAATAGTGCAATATAAAGTACATAAGTAAAAAATTCGTAAATAAAAAGACTAAATAAGTAGTGAAATGGGAAAGAGACAGCTGAACGAGAGAAAGTCTTATATGATCTGGCAGATGTCCTGTCCCAGGGCTGCAATCATGATAACAGTCGGCTCAGGCAAGACGTCGTCTTGCAATGCAGGTTGCCGCGCAGAGCGCTATCCCGTGAATAACATTGTAGCCGATTTTCAAACACATGAAAGTTCAAAATTTTTTTAAACACGGTCCACAAAAGTACTCGAGAATGAGCGACAATAAAAATCACATAAGAGTTCAGTAAAGATGTGAAGCAAAATCTGAAACAGTCTTTGTAGCCGAACGAATCCAATAGCTAAGCCGGTCGAGACGCTTGGAAATGAAGTGATGTGCAAATTAAGTGCGCAAAAGAAATGCCTTTTATCACCAAAATCAGTGCCTCACA